CCTACTGTCGGGGCCAAGGACTCGGACTCACCGGCTGCCCTCGGTCACCGCCCCACCTGCCCTGCCCTGGCCGCCCCTGTGTTTGCCCAGCCGAGGAGATGGTGTTAGGCGACGTCTCTTTAACAGCTGTTTAGCATTCCTTTGTTACCTTCATTTACATAATGCTCATGGTTTCCCCCTTACCACCTTGTGTTCTTTTTGTTTTCTGTGAAGGCTTGTCCTGGTCCTCTTCTTGCTGTGTTCTCATGTGGTAGAGAGAGGGGTTTCTTTTTTAATCTATTTTTATTGATTTCAGAGAGGAAGGGAGAGGGAGAGAGAGAGAAGCATCAATGATGAGCGAGAATCAGCCGCCTCCTGCATGCCCCACACTGAGGATGGAGCCCACAACCCGGGCATGTGCCCTGATGGGGAATTGAACCGTGACCTCCTGGCTCATAGCTGAGCCACGCGGGCCAGGTGATATCACATTTCTTTGGAGAGCTATTCAGGTTGCTAACTAGACCTGGTCCCCTGTGTGTGACTGTGGTGCAGTAGCCTACCCTCTGCAGATGCTCACTCTGCACTTGAGTAAGGAGACCAGATCGCCTCCAACTCTTCGCCACCATATAGCAATGCTGATGGCCGTTCCCTGTGGTCACTGATTCGAGAAATATTTAGCGAGCACCTCCGATTTGCTAGGCACAGTTCCTGATCCGTAATGAAAGAAACAGACCCACTGCCATGGAGCTTCCGTTCCCCTGGAACAGACAACCCATAGTTATGTGCTCACTCGTGTGTTAAGAGGTGATGCCTGGGATAGGGGAAAGGACATGGTAAGAAGGGCTCCGGAATGGGGGGCAGGGAGGTGGTGGCAGCTACAGTTTTAAACAGGGCACCAGGTTGGGCTTCATTGGGAACATAATATTTGAGCATCGAGTGGAAGGAGGTGAGACAGGGAGCCAAGAGAACCACATTTAGAGGGAGTTTCCCAGCAGGAGGAATCGCCAGTACAAAAGCCACTAGGAAGGAATGTGCTTGGAGGGTATGAGGAGCAGTAAGGAGGCCCGTGCTGCTGGGTGAAGGAAATGAAGAGGAGGCTCACAGGTGTGGCATGGAGAGTAGGAAGAGCTGCCTTCCTCTTTAAGGACATTGGGTGACTTTGAGTGAGGTGTGGCATGTTTGGAAGGTTTTGAGCAGAGGAGACAGTCACCAGCTCATGAGCGTGTGACCTGTGTGGTTGCATAGGATGACTATACTTAATTCAATGCGCTGCTGTAACTGTCGAGATTTTTAATAAATTTTTAACAAGGAGCTCCACAAGTTATGGAGCTGATCTGGCATGATCTCTGTTCTGAAAGGATCACTGTGGCTGCTGTGTGGGTACACTGTACATACAAAGAAACTAGGCCCTAGCTGGTTTGGCTCAGTGGATAGAGCACTGGCCTACAGCCTGAAGGGTCTCGGGTTCAATTCTGGTCAAGGACACATACCTCAGTTACAGGCTAGATTCCCAGCTCTGGTAGCAACCATTCGATGTGTCTCTCTCACATCGATGTTTCTCTCTATCTCTCCCCCTCCTTTCCACTCTCTAAAAATCACTGGAGCCCAGCTGGTGTGGCTCAGTGGTTGACTTTCTACCTATGAACCAGGAGGTGAGGGTTCAATTCTCGGGCAGGGCACATGCCCTGGTTGCAGGCTCTATCCCCAGTGTGGGGCATGCAGGAGGCAGCCAATCAATGATTCTCTCACCATTAATGTTTCTCTCTCCCCCTCTCCCTTCTTCTTTGAAATCATTAAAAATACTTTTCTTAAAAAAAAATCAATGGGAAAATACCCTCAGGTGAGGATTAACACACACACACAAAGAAAACAAATTATAGGATCCTAGAAACCAGGAGACTAGTTACTGGAAAGCTATTATAGTTATTCAAACAATAGATGATGCTAGACTGGGCCACCAGGATGGTAGTAGAGGATGTGATGAGAAGGTAGAACCAGCTAGGTCTATGGTAGAGGGGATGTGTGGTGTAAGAGAGGTTAGAGGGTGATTCCTCCCAAGTGTTTGGCTAAATAAGTGGAAGAATGGAGTTGCTTTCTACTGAGAGAAGCTTCGGTAGAACAGGTTTAGGAAGAAACTAGGAATTCTGTTCTGGACAGGCTGAGCTGAAATGCTTTTTCCATATCCAAGTAGAAATGTTGAGTAAGCAGGTAACTATATGTCTGGAGTTCTGGAGGTGTGGACTGCAGGTATGGATTTTGAAAGCCTGGTATAGAGGTAAGAGAAGGAACAAGGATGAGCCCTGGGGCCATCACGTTGTAAAGAGATTGGAGAGAAGAGAGATAACCAGCAAAACCCAAGGAAAGGGCCATTGAAAATCCAAACCGAGACTGATCTTGGGAAACCACCCACCGGAAGTGACTGTTTCAAGGAAGGCGTGGCTAGCGGAGAGGAATGCTGCTGAGGCCTGGTGAGTGGCCGGCTGACAATTGGATCTAGCACAACAGAGCCCGGCCCATGTGGTTCGGGGAAGCGGTGGAGAAGCCCGATGGTGTCAACCTGAAAACATTCCAACCTGGAAAGAATTTTGTGAGTTTATTTGAGCCAAACTGTCGACAATTGCCGGGAAGCAGAATCTGACGGATTGGGATAGTGCTCCGGAGAAGGCGGCTTACACCTGTATTTACACATTGCAATCAAAGGAGGGAGGAAGGTGGGTGACATGAAATCCATTGGCAATAGACTAGGGAGGCGGGAGAAAGGAAAGTGGGAAACATCTGTGATTGAATAAAAAGTAAAGGATAGCTAACAGTCAACAATTAACATGATAACAGTGCTGGGCACCCAGCACATTAGGTTGTGCCCCAAGGGGTCTGGAAAAAGGGAAGTTACAAGTTACCCAGACATTTCAAGGATATGTTATCATTGATGCAAAAAGACATAAAGGCTCAGTTAAGGGAAAGGTTGACCTGGTCAGTGAAGATACCAGCCTAGGAGGTGACTACCCACCATCACTGCTTTTAGTTCAAGTGTAATTTCAGACCATCCTTTGTGGTGACTTTAGGTCTCTGAGCTTGCAAGCCCGCCATGCAGGCCTCCCCTGAGCTGTCAGCTTAGCACGTGGCTCCTTTCGTCCACAATAGCAATGAACTGTGCAAACAGGAAGAAGGAAGAGTGTTTCTGGCTAAAGAAACAGCTTGTAGGAAGGCCTGGGATCGAGAGTGTGGTCTGTGGGAGATGGTGGAGGGCCTGGGAGGAATGTTGGACATTCTCAAGGAGTATCTTTAGATTTGGCCCGAAGGCAATGGAAAGCCATTTCAAAGCTTTACCGCAGGCTGACAAGATTGGGTTCACGTGTTTGGGCGATCATTCAAACTGTAATACGATCAGTTAAAGAAAAGAGGATAAACTGATAAACGGGCCATTTGGATTATGGCCTGGACTAGGATGATCAGACTTGACCGTTGATTTGCTGTGGCTGTCCGGGACAGAGAAGAGTCAAGAGCGATTTCCAAGTACCTGGCCTGAAAGGCTGGTTAAGAGGTGGGGGCCACGTGCTGAAACAGGAATCCAGGAGGAAGATGGAGTTTAGTTTTATTTATTTATTTTTAAATTGGAGTTTAGCCCTAACCGGTTTGGCTCAGTGGATAGAGCGTCGGCCTACGGACGGAAGGTCCCAGGTTCGATTCCGGTCAAGGGCATGTACCTTAGTTGTGGGCACATCCCCAGTAGGAAGTGTGCAAGAGGCAGCTGATCGATGTTTCTAACTCTCTATCCCTCTCCCTTCCTCTCTGTAAAATATATATTTTTTTAAAAAACAGCTTCTAAAAAATAAATAAAAAATAAATTGGAGTTTAGTTTTAGAAATGATGTTCAGACCTAGCAGCTTTGGCTCAGTGGATTGAGTGTCCACCTGCAGACTGAAGGGTCCTGGGTTTGATTCCAGTCAGGGCATATGCTGGAGTTACAGGCTCAATCCCAAGGGGGGCGTCCAGGAGGCAGCCAATCAGTGATTCTCTCTCATCATTGATGTTTCTATCTCTCTCCCTCTCCCTCTCCCTTCCTCTCTGAAATCAATTTAAAAATATTTTTTTAAAACAAAGAGCTAGATGCCAAAACCGGTTTGGCTCAGTGGATAGAGCGTCGGCCTACGGACTGAAAGGTCCCAGGTTCGATTCCGGTCAAGGGCATGTACCTGGGTTGCGGGCACATCCCCAGTGGGAGATGTGCAGGAGGCGGCTGATCGATGTTTCTCTCTCATCGATGTTTCTGACTCTCTATCTCTCTCCCTTCCTCTCTGTAAAAAATCAATAAAATATATTTTAAAACAAAAAACAAAGAGCTAGAGAAGTCTGGATAAAGATTTGAGTTTATAGAAGGTGACTGAAGCCACAGGCGCTCATCTGATCCTTCAGGGACAGTGTACAGTGTGAGAAGAGAAGAACGCACAGGTGCATGAGGTCCGAGAAGGAAGGAAAAACTAGTAGAATATGGGGTCACATCTCCCCACGCAGGGGTTACGGCCCCTCCCACAAGCCTCAGAGCCCAGGGCCCTGGGCCCACAGTGGAAGTCCTGGGACGTTTTGACCCTCTTCTGTCTGTCTTTTGCCAGTTGCCAGATACAGACTCCGTGTGGTTGAGCCACCACAACTGCCTGTGAGGAAAAGCCCCTCCCCTGATGAAGATGGTGAGTGTGGGAGTGAGTGCTCTGGTGTGGTGGCTCCAAGGCCTGGGGTGGACCTCCAACGCCATGAGCTAAGGCGCCCAAACTGCTTTCTCTCTGCACAGGTCCAGACACTGAGCCCAACCTGTGGATGTGGGTGAACCCCAACATCGTGTTTCCCCCTGGAAAGCTGGAGGTCTCACAGCCCAGGAAGGGGGAGGGCTTGACCAGCATGCTCCCCTCCCCTCCGCTGCCCCCGAAAGAGGAAGACTGTGCCCACTGCTCAAAGGTCGATGCCGCGGAGCTGCTGCCTGCGTCCTCCAGGGAGCTGTCTCCCCCTCGGAAGCAACTCCCTTCTTCCCCCAGCAGCTCAGAGGTGGGGGTCTCTGGGGTTGCAGGCGGGATGGGCAAAGGGCTGATGCATCGCAGAGTTGTGGTGTTCAGGGACCACAGGGTTCATGGGCTCAGAAGCCAGCTGTGCCCTTGGGTTGGGGACCAGTCCAGACGATGGCCTGCACCATGGCCCCTCCTGCCACTGCACCCGAGGACAGGCCATGGAGTCAGGGCCAGTTCCTACTCTACTCCTCTAGCTCACAGAAGAGGAGGCTAAGGACCAGCACGACCGCTCCTCTGTGGCTCTCCTGTCCCCTCACAAAAGGGCCCCCCTCCAGAGTCGGAGGCTCCGGCAAGCCACCAGCCAGGAGGGGAGGCCCTGGCCCCGGCCCCCCCTCCATTACTTCCACCTCATAGCACTGGCACTAAGAAACAGTCCCCCCTGCGGCCTCAACGTGCAGCAGATCTACAGTTTCACCCGGTATGTGCCCTGCGGGGCCGTGAGGAGGGGTCGGGGTGGGGCCCCGGTCTGCAACCTTCCAGTCCACCCAGCCCTTGGCTGCTGCCGGACCCAAGAGGACAGGTGTGTGCTCAGCTCCTCCCCCAGGCACTGGTTCTGGGTTGTCCCTAGATGTGTGTCCACATACCACATGTAGGGAAGACATCCACCTCCATCCGCTCTCACATTCGAAAACTCGATTCTTTTTACATCTTAGTTCTTTTTTTTTAAATATATTTTTATTGATTCTCCCTCCAAGCTGCTGAGGGAGGAAGGGAGAGGGAGAGAGAGAGAGAAACATCAATGATGAGAGAGAATCATTGACTGGCTGCCTCCTGCACGCCCCACACTGGGGATCGAGCCCACAACCCGGGCCTGTGCCCTGACCAGGAATCGAACCCTGACCTCCTGGTCGATGCTCAACCACTGAGCCACGCTGGCCAGGTATCATCTTAGTTCTTTAAAACATAAATTCCCCTGGGTGACAAATTCTCCCACCTCCCTCTAAAGATCATCTAGTATAAAGTCTGGGTTCCGCAACAGTCTCCCCCATGCTTTCGCTGTGGACAGTACTGCTGGGCACAGCTCCCCGTACCCCGGGGCACATCACTGAGAAGGGACTCACCTAGAGCTTTGGTGGTCATGTACACACGCGTGTGGGGTCTCTCAGACCTCTTCCTAGAGCAGAAGAGCCTCAGAATATTCATCCTCGAGTGGTATCCCTCCTTGACCAGGGTGCCTCCTCCAGGAGTTGGCCTAATTTACACTCCGTTGCTGTTGCAAGTCAAGGTCCCCAGTTCTCAGAGGGAGGGAGGCTAGGGATCCTAGGGTCGGGGCAGGAAAGGGCCTCATTTAAAAGATGAGGGTGTGTACCCACCATATACCAGGTGGAGGTTTTGCCACGGGCACAACCAGCAAAGAGCCTTCCCCTGGAGGGAGGGCTGAGGGTCCTGGCCCCTGGGGAGACATGCTCAAGGACAGGGCGGGCCTAGCCTGTCCTCACGGGGCCCTGTCCTCAGACAGCATTTCCCCTTCTTCCGGACGGCGCCCGAGGGCTGGAAGAACACCATCCGCCACAACCTCTGCTTCCGAGCCAGCTTCGAGAAAGTGCGGGCCAGCACGCAGGCCGGGGCCTGCCTCTGGAAGCTGACGGAGGAGGGACGCCGCCGCTTCGAGGAGGAGGCCCGGGCCTTGTCCTCGGCGCAGCTGGAAAGGATCCAGCAGTGCATGAGCCAGCCAGGTGCGAGGCCCCGCCTCACGGTGTGTGTATGTGTGTGGCGGGGAGGGGGGGCTGAAGATCCTGGCCCGAGGCTGGATGTGCAAGGAAGGAAACAGGCCATGGGAGGAAGGGGAGAGGATAGCAGGTCTGAGATGGGGTGGGGGGAGGGTGCTGCCTTAGGTGGGCCCACCCACAAGTGTGGACTTGGGTCCAGGGAGTTGATGGGGAAACAGCTCAGATGCCATCGGTGCTACTCACAGGCCAGCAGCCTGGGGACATGGTGGCCACAGTGTCGGGCCTGGCATGAGAGATGGTGTGCAAAAGGGCCTTTTTCTCTGCTGGACACCAGGATGCAGATTCTGAGGCTCTTCTGCTCTAGGAAAAGGTCTGAGGAGCTCCTCACACTCAGAGAAAGACCACCTGTGAGGGTTCCGGGCTCGGAGCAGCGCCTGCAGGGCGGCGGGCTCCTCTGACTCTTCTTCTCTTACAGGTGTGATGCCCTTCCTCTTTGACCTGTAAGTCCAAGGCGGAGAGGCAGCTTGTGCCGTATTAAAGTTCCCTGCAGCAGCCATGTGTGTGTGTGTGTGTGTGGTCTCTGAGGAGGGGGAGGGGAAAGGGGAGGTGAGCTCTGAGGTTGGGAATGGGGTGTCCTCAGAGCTGCTGGATGCCCCAGAGGCAGTGGGGCAGTGGCCTGGTGTGCAGCAAAGGGCTCCCATACTCTTCCTCTCCTCAAAGGAAGAAAATACTTACCGTCTTTGGGATCCTGGTGCAATTCCCACTTTTCCTTTCTAAATATATTTTTATTAACTTCAGAGAGGAAGGAAAAGGGAGAAATGGAAACATCAATTATGAGAGTCACTGATCAGCTGCCTCCTGCATGCTCACCACTGGGGATCAAGCCCACAGTGCCCTGACCTGGTTCCTAGGTCATCACTCAACCACTGAGCCATGCCGGTCGGGCACAATTCCCACGTTTCTGGGTGATGACGATCGTCTTGGGAGATGCTAGCTTGTAGCAGGCAGCCCTGTAAAAGACCCCCAAAAGCACCACCCACTCAGGAGCAGCGAGAAAGATGAGAGGAAACACTTTCTTGGAAAAGGGAGTAGTCGGGCTCCTTTCCCCCTTAAACACTGAGGGTCCTCACCACACCCTCAGCAAAAGCCAGAGCCGCGTGGGTCCCAGTCCTTAGCGGCTGCAGACCCAGCCAAGTGTGACTTTCCTGGGCCCGGGAGGCCATGCTCAGGGCTGGGCCCGCTACCAGCCTCAGGTCTGAGGGGAATAGGGAGCAAGTAAGACAGGAACGTGGTCAGCCCGGCCACGTGGCTCAGGGGTTGAGCGTCAACCTATGAACCAGGAGGTCACAGTTCCATTCCCGGTCAGGGCACATGCCCGGGTTGCAGGGTCAATCCCCAGTGTGGGGCATGCAGGAGGCGGCTGATCCATGATTTGCTCTCATCATTGATGTTTCTATTCTCTCTCCCTCTCCCTTCTCTGATATCAATAAAAAATATTTTTAAAAAAGAAAGGAATGAGGCTCAGAGCTGTATCTGGATGCCACAGACATGAGCATGGTACCTGAAGGTAATGGGTTTCCCCAGGGCTGAGCTGACCGGTCCCGTTCCCTCCTGCTTTCCCCTCGTTGCTGATAGGCCTGCACAGAAACACGGCTCTCCCTCAGACACCCGTCCAGGGGCCTGGGCATCTCACCTCCTAGAGGTAGCAGGGGTGGTGCTTGAATTGAGAGAATGGCTCCCCTGGTCAAGGGCCTCCCCGGACCTGCAGGCAGCTGGGGCTGAGGCCCTCTCCCCTTCGTCCCTCCCCGCCCTGCCTGCCGGCCACAGCTCTGGGTCTGTTCGGAAGGACCCACCTCAGGCAGGCACTCCCTCAGCTGGCGACATACCAAGGCCCGCCCTGGCCACCTCTCCTCCATCACCTCCAGCTCCGGTCAGGAAGATGAGCTCACGATGCCTCTTTCTTCGTGCCCGAGTGGAAAACCAGGGGATGGAGCACAGCTTCATGCTGAGCCTGGCTCACAGTGGAAGTGAAATCAACGGTCGCTACTCTCCGTCCATTGTGTCATCTTCCAGGAGTCTGGTGGGCTGATCACGGCCTGGATCGACTCTGAGCACTTGACAGCTCTCAGTGGTCACCTGCACCTCAACATGCTGGCCTTGTACCTGTGACTCCCAGCTCAGCAGGTGGCTGGCCTCCTGCACGGTATCTTCTTCAGCACATTTTCTCAGTTTTTCTGAACTTTGTATCTGTTTTTAAAAAGAATATATATATTTCGGAAAGAAATGGAAAGGGAGAGATAGAAACATCAATGATGAGATCCCTACTGGGATGGAGCCTGCAACCCAGGCATGTGCCTGACTGGGAATCGAACCGTGACCTCCTGATTCATAGGTCGATGCTCAACCCCTGAGCCACGCCGGCCAGGCTGAACTTTGGTATCTTTTGTATGCAAAATGAGGATACTAAAAATGCAGATTTGATTTAAGATCTAAATAGAATGAGGGAAAGTGGAAGTCCCGTGTCCAGCATATTAACATCGAGGACTTACAACAGACTAGACATCATTGACATACATTTGCAGGTTTAATCCGTAAAGCCGCCTTGAGGAGTATATACAATTTTTCTTGTCATGTCTGTGAGTGTGATAGTCATTATAGTCCTATTTAAGGAGTAAACTTCATTTCCTGTCCACTAATTCCCCCCTAATCCTTTGCAGTCTGCCTCACTGTGAAACCTGACTGCCACTCCCTGGTCTCTGAAACGTGGGGTTCCTGGAAAGGCAGGGCCGTGCCCTCCCAGACCAGCATCTCTGCCTTTGAAGAAAGGCCGTTTGCTGGATTTGCACAGTCTGGCAACATACCAACTCCCACCCTGGCCACCTCCGCCTCTGCGCCAAGCTCCTGTGTTCACTCCCAGACACATACCAGAAGTGAACACGTGCCGGGCCAGGGGCACTTGCTGACTGGGCGGGGGTGGGGGTGGGGGATATGGCTGCCCAGAGGGTTTGGGGGTGTTGTGGACATTGGAAGTCAGACCCAGGAATGTCAGATGGCCTCAAGTAGGAGGCAATTTCTCACCCTGAAGAACTGACCCCCATAACTCAGGCCATTTATACTGACCTGAGCCAAGCACCTAAGCAGAAAGGATTGCATCGTTTTAATATACACGGGATTTCCCAGGAATGCAACTATTGTGTAAAATGAAGACTGTACTGTTTGGTTTGGAATTTTACCAAGAGTTGTCTGCCATGTTGGAAAAATCACTGATAGCAAAGCTGCCCTCGCATTTAGGTCACCAGCACCACGGCCTGTGTTGGTGACGCTGGGTTTGGGTCTGTTGTACTCAGGGATTCCAGATGTATTGTTGAGTGTTTCCCTCCACGTCCCGCGTGGTTTAGGGTTCAGGATCTGGAAGAGGTCCGCACGCAAATGAAAGAGACAAGACAAGAAATAATAATTTGGAAATATTGGGGGACCAGGCGGGCAAGTCCAACTCAAGGGGAAGGACTTCCACTGGTGCTCAGGCCTCACCAACCTTTTATTGATCTGGGATACACCCATAGCATAGCCCTTAGGCCGGCAATTTCCAGTAACAGGCAGACTAGCCCATCAGGAAGGATTCACATAATAATAAATGGGGAAGTTGCTTCAGCTACCATTGTCTGGACTAACAGTGGGTGCACAGCCCGCCAGGGCTTCAAGGGTCACAAGCCTTCCGGGATCCTTGTCCACACCCCTCTGATAGAGAAGACAATGGATGACTTCCCACAATGTATGTATAAACAAATATTTAGTTATTATTTCAAGGTAGCCAGTATAAAGAAAAAGTATTTTCAATAGCCATTTAAAGAAATACCTCTTAAATCTAAGCTATCACTAGAAGTATGTGCCAATTTCCAACTCATGCTTTCAAATCTAGTTTATCCATTGGATATTGTAAGTTTTTCTCCCTTCATTTTTCTGTTCTATTACAATGAGAGCATTATATTGCTCCATTTATTTTACTTTTAAAAGAATCATCATATTTTCCATTATTTTTTATTTTAAATATATTTTTATTGATTTCAGAGAGGGAGAGGAAGAGGGAGATAAAAACATTAATGCTGCCCTGGCCGGTTTGGCTCACTGGATAGA